GGTTGCTCTGTAATAAAGGTGAGCACTGCACTTTTCCTTCACAGTCCATCAAATAAGTGTGAGAAATTAAAAATGAAACCTTTTATCCACATCACCCTGTCTACAGTTGTGTTCATCCACAGCAACATGGTGGACGTATTCTCTTTGAACCGCTACACTGTTACACTAAAAGCACAGACGCCAGCAAAGGGACAATGACATACAGTAGAGAGAGAAAAAAATCAATGAAAAGGAAATCAAGAGGAGAGCGAGATGGTTAGGAGGGAGAGTGACGGAGAAAGGTGTAAGAAAGAGATTTATGTGCAACCACTGCACACTCTGCTGCTCTCTAATTACTGAGTCCACACCACATTGTTCATCCCCTGCTACTCTGTGTGAGTGTGTTATTTATTGTGTTATTTATGGACACATGTCTGTTGGTGTTTGCCTATGTGTGTACACACCCAAGGGAACTGTGGGTAAGTAATGGGTTTTGAAGGAAAAACATAGAAGAGAAGAGAAATACCAAAAAGGGCCTTGTAGCATAAAGGTAGCTGACATTGTGGATCATTAAATCACCTGGTTATATAGAAGAGACGGAGGACGGGAATATGAAGACTAAATGGTGCTTTTTACTCTGTTTTGGATACCTTTAAATGATAAAGGTGGAATTATTCTCCTTTCACCGTTAACTTATGCCACATTTCCTTTGTTTGTCTCTGTAATACAGCAGGGTGTCCGCTGGGTCTTAAAAAGTATTAAAAGTTGATAAGTCAATTTCAATTAAGGCTATTAAAAAGTATTAAACGGCATTTTCCAAGCTATTACATTTTGTAGCTTGTTTTCAATAAGTATATCAATTGTCCAAAGAGGTTGTATTCTACAGTCTGCCTGAATGTAATCATTGCGTAGGTGTGTAGTGTGATTCTGTGTAGTTTATTTATGGCGTCCCGTTGGATTTGACGTCATCTGAACAGGACATCGCACGCTCACTGCTTGATAGCGTGCGAAGGCCCGTTTACGCCGGTTGTTAAACAACATCGTTATGGGGAAATGCAAGTCTGCGTCCAAATGGTTGGAAGATAAGGAGGAAGGACAATCAATACTGTATCAAGTCAATGTGAGGTAAAGTGTGTCGCCAAGGTAACCGGTTAGAACTCAAAGTGGCGATGAGGTCTTAAAATGTATGGAAAGGGTCTTAAAAAAGGTCTTAAAAGAGATTACATTTGACTTCAGGATTCCTGCATATACCCTGTACAGTGAAAGTACAGTAGCTCAGCAAAGGTTGTGTTGCTATTTGATGTTAAATACTATAAGTTACCCTTATTTCATTGCAGTTCACATCTGTGCTTGCTTTACATTATCCACAATGTGCATCTTTGCGGTGATTGACAATGAATGGTTGACGAACTGATTGATTATGGAATTGATTGACTGACTGATTTGCTAGTCAAACTGACTGGCTCATTTCCTGTGGCTCCTATAAGGCGGTATGGATAAAAATAAAGTCAGAGGCTTTTCAAAGGATGGTACAAAAGTTTCATTTCAGTGCGTGTCCAAGACGGACCAGATGACAGGATGACAGGAGCAGTGGAACATAAATATAAAAGTGTCAGCATGAGTTCTGATAGACAGCCGTACATACGAACACAGAATGAGTCACCCAGCTGTCAGAGTTGAAGACAGAGCCTGTTAGTTTGAAGAAAGACTGCATTTGTTTTAGTCAACAATGAAGAAAAATGTGTTAAAATGCAGAGTTAATGTACAGTCGGGAGCTTTTGTTTCCATATTGACATTTTAATGTTTTGATGAATCCAGGATGGTACAAAAATATGCCGGGTTTTTCAAATGTGACGCATGTGTGTGTCCTTGTCCCTTCTGTTTTCAATTGTGAGTCTTTTCTATTCAGTGTGTGTTGTGGTTAGCTGTATGAAAACCGACATGTTTTTATCTAAAGGCTGTGATTCTTGAACAGAAAGTGATTGAAGGGTAATTTTGAAACTACTTTGGAGTTTTCTGCACAGGAGCTCATTTGTCCACATCAGTTTCAAAGCCCTGTGTGCTAGTCCATGCTTCAATGAGACGCTAGATGTGTGTTTGTGTTAAAGGCAATGGTATGTACATGCTCATTCCCTACACTCGGATACACTCAAGTGCACACACCCCGCTTGGCTAGCAGCATGTGGAGACGAGCTGCTGTCTGCCCTGACCTACGAGAGCGCAGCTTGTGGACACGCTGAGTGAGCAGCAAGAGATAACACACATCCAACACCTCTGGAGGGCGAGAGAGGGGTGTGTGTGTGTGTGTGTGTGTGTGTGTGTGTGTGTGTGTGTGTGTGTGTGTGTGTGTGTGTGTGTGTGTGTGTGTGTGTGTGTGTGTGTGTGTGTGTGTGTGTGTGTGTGTGTGTGTGTGTGTGTGTGTGTGTGTCAGATTAGATATTTCTTGATGTCATGTACAAGCATTCCTGTGCATCACAATAGAGTTAGCAGCTGCATTAGCATGCTAACGTGTCATTTCTTGTTTTCTTTGCTGCATGGGACAATATTTTTACATTTCTTTCATCTTAGTCCTAAAATAAACTGCAAGGATGACTGATCAGGCAAAGTAAAGAGAGGAGGCTGTCCATAGCATTTAGAGAGTCACAATAGGCTGTAAAGGAATGAGGGAGATTTAGAGTGACAGCGCATATTAAATTATAAAAAGGCTGTGTCAGCAAAGTGTGACCAAGAATGAAAAGAGTGTGTAAGAAGGAGAAGGGGAGACCACTTTATCAGTAAGGCGTAACTGAGAATAGAAATTGAGACACGAGATAGAGTTTGAAAGTCAGGCATAGAAAGAAATAAAGCCGACAGAGAGAGTGAGAAGGACAAAACTCAAATAAAGATTGAGAGGAACATCTTGGTGCAGGGGCTCATAGATATACATATCAAAAGCAGTAACTCAAAGTTAGTGAATACACATAACCAAGAACTTTAAGACATCATTCTTGATACAACTATTAGTGCAACTCTTAGGATCTAATGTTGAAAATAAGGGTGGTTATTTAAGTATTCATTTTAGAAAATTGGTTTACCTAAAAACAACATTATCTCCTTACAATGGTCTGGCTTATTTGGAGCGAATATATCTGCTTTCCTGACTTTGTATCTTCATGATTTATTGCACTTTTTGAAAGCTACTTGGGATACAAGTGTCAGCTTTGAAATGCAATGTAATATAATCTCTTTCCCAAACGTTAGTCTACGGGGAAATGTGTTTTGGGGGCCAATGGTATTATGTGACAGACCAGGAAGTTGTAATCCTGTGGTAATGCCACTTTGTCAAATTGGACAATAATCTCAGCACTGTGTACGTTGTTCCCAATACACCGTGACCACCTCTCTATGGATGGTGAGCAGATGAAGCACATTTTAAAAAAACATTACCAGCAACCATAATACTGGCAGAAGTAATGTGTTTTGTTGAAATGTAATTGACGAACAATAAGAATTGTGTGTTAGCCCACTCTTGAAGTGCGCTGCTTTGACACCTTAGAAGTCATTGTATAATGTAAGTATTATCCCAAAGAGGTCAACAGAACATTTTGAATTTAGCCACCCACGAACAGAAATTAAAACCCATACACAGGAACAGAAATTTAACAAAAACACCAAGGAAAGATTCCAAGGCTGTGACAAAAGAGCACTTATGAATATTGGAGGAAAGGAAGAAGAGGGAGAGTTATGGCTCAATTCAGCCGTTACAGAGTGTGTGGGAGGAAAGAGAACTACTGTAAGGAAAAGTGTGTGTGTGTGTGTGTGTGTGTGTGTGTGTGTGTGTGTGTGTGTGTGTGTGTGTGTGTGTGTGTGTGTGTGTGTGTGTGTTATTGCTCTCTGTACTCACCTTCATTTATAGTTGATGATTTGATTTGTTCCAAGTGCTCTCGCTGTAAAGGAAGCATGTATTTTTAATTAAATGAAACGAGGTACGTGACCCCAAAGGAAACCATTGACCCTGGTAAAGTACATTAATCTTCATTGAATCCCTCTCTAATGTATCGTAATCGCAAAACACACAGCCTGGATGTGGTCCGTGACTTTTGTTTAATGACTTTAATATGTTACTTACAGAAGGTCAGAGACATCAACTGTCGTCAATTTGTGCGACCGTCGCTTTAAGAGTACGTGGTTACATTTCGAAGAACAGTTTTCAAGTTTGGTTTTGTGAAGATGATTTACCGTTTTATTATCTGTTATGACAGTTTTAGCAAGGCCGAATGAAATATTTCCAAAGAAGGTAATTTATCCAGCACGTAAATTGAAGGGTTCATGAAAGAGAGTGTCTCAGGATTTCGTTGTCGTTCCCAAAACGTCGTATTCAAATAGTCAAAACTAAAAACCCTGTAGGACATTTATTCGAGCATAGTCTTCAAATGTTTACCTAAAAAACGAATTAAAGAAAGAAAGCCACCTCGGAGAAAGCTGTAGGATTTTACAAGAACCAATCAAAGACTCTTGTAATTGAATGTTAAAAATCAAACATTTCTGAACACTTGGATGGATCACTTTGCCTGAAATATGTCAATACAAAAGGTACAATAAGATCATATAAACAAGAAGATGTGCAGAGGTTTTTGGTTGCGTTGTTTTGAGCATTTAAAAGCATCACCAGCTCTAAGAAAGGGCAATCAGTATGCAGGGAGTGAATGATCAGGGTGAAATCAATAAGACCACGGTTTCTTTCACTGGGTTTGACCTAGTCAGCAGGTTTGGTTTATTCATTTATAAATGGAGCAGGCAGGAGTGTACAGACTACTAATGGTGTGTGTGTGCGTGTATGTGTGTGTGTGTGTGTGTGTGTGTGTGTGTGTGTGTGTGTGTGTACGTGTGTGTGGTGTGTGTGGTGTGTGTGGGTGCGTGTGTGTGTGTGTGTGTGTGTGCATGTATGTGCATGTGCGTGTATGTGCGTGTGCGTGTATGTGCG